CTGCTCCATAATCTTCCCCGGCACCAAGGAGCAGAGGAGCAGAAGGAAGGGTGCAAATTAATTAAAAGGGGATCCCCAACCCACCAGGCATGACAGGTGTGAGTGCTGGGGGGGGACATAAGCTGCTTTTGTGCTCTTCTGCAACAGCTTCCCCCAGACCTTGGATGGAGGCAAGTCCCCCCATTTCTTGACCAACCCAGGTGCTGCAAAGTACTTTACCCCACAAGCCCGAATACTCAGCTGTCCTCCCTGGATGCACTTTAGGGCAGCCAGAGAGCCCTATTTTTCTTGCCTCGTGCCCCCAACCTGCAACCATCCCTTGGGGACCCAATCATGGGGAACCTCCCTACTGAGGTTCATGATGGCACAAGAGGTGCTATCACCTGGTAGCTTGTGGTTCTCCACTGGCACCTCATGCATCCCAGTACAGAGGGACCCTGCTCTCAGCCTCATCCCAGGGTCCATCAGGCTTGCAAACTGAGGGCTGTGCCCCAAAGCACCTGGGATGATGGGAAGGAGGCCAGAAGACCGAACAAGCAGAGGTTCCAACAGCAGGAGACGACATCTGCCAAGGCAACTGATGCCTTCCTTGCCAGAATAAAACACAGGTAGATTGTGCCTGGTCCTTTCTCCACCTTCCCCAGAGATGAACAACATCCCAAATCTGGGAAAGGTGCAGAACCGAAGGTTTCTCCACATTTCTCCTTTTTTCTGTGATGCTTCAGAAGGGCTGGAGAGCAAGGTCCCAAAATTAGGAGCAAAATCAGAGTCAGGGCTGCTTGGAGTCCATCACATTCAGAAATAAACTAAAGCCCTCCATATAAGCCCCCGCGCTCCTCACCCCAGGTGAATCCATCCCTTAGATCATGCCCAGGAAGCTCCAGGAGCTCACCAGATGCTGGAGGAAACATCTCAAGATGGATTGGAAAAGCTGGGAAGTGCCAGCATGAGATCACCCCCCAAGCTATGGCTGAGAGGGGAGTAGGGGGTCTGCAGGACATCCAAGCAGCACAAAACCTGAATGAATTTCCTCCAGCAAGTGAGGCCATCCCTTTCTTTGCCAACTACAAAGCTGGCGTTGGCCATAAGGTTATCACTTGGTGACCTTATCCATTGCTTGGTGACCACCATCGCTTGGTGATCACACAACACATGATCCCAGCACATGAGAAAAGCCTTAATTCTTAGACGGGCATCTCTGGGAGCAGCCACCCTGGGGACTGAACCACCAGAGATGGTCCCCTCCTGCCTTCTGATATGCAGCAGATCAGGAAGGTAAACCTGCCTTTGGACTCCAGGATGGCAAAGGCTGGAGATCCCACAGGGCAGGATGCCCATCAAAGGTTGGGCTTGTCCAACTACAAGAACACACAGTCTAGCTACCACCTACCCAGTGCCACCTGAGATGCCCTCAATCACCCCAGATAGTCATAGCGAGGCTGGCATATAGGACATAGGGACTATAAGAGATACAACCTCTCCTGGAAGAGGAGCTGAAGGCCCACTGGGTACCCCAGATCATCTCCAATGGCCTCAGCAGTTGAATGCAACCCCAGACCTCCATCAACCATTTGGAGCGCTTGATTGGGCTGCTCCTACACAGGCAACACGCATCATTGGAGGTGCCTTCAGGTGTGTGAGACACCCACAGAGACAAAAATGTGACATCCAGGAAGACACCTGGATGACATTACGTAGGCAGCCACCTCCTGCCACCAGCGTCATCAGGTGTCCTCCAAATCCCACATACCCAAGTTTTTGCTCTTTTACGAGAGTCCCCGCCTCTGCTCAGGAACATGAGTTAAAGGAGAGGGTGAGTTTGGGTGGGAGATAGCCTAAGGGGAACTGTCTCTGCTCTGGGGTTGGGGTGAAGGGGCCCCCACCACTGCAACATGCATCATGTAGGTGCTTCATGGCCAATATGACACCTCCAGTGTCTCACCACACTTTAAAGGGTAAAGGACCACCATCACCACAGGCATTCTGTTCCCAGGGCTGCAGGTGCAACCTCCCTTCCCCAGAGACACGTGGACACAGCAGATCCCAGGATGGGAACCTGTTGAGATGTGTCCACCACCAGCTGGGCTACAGAAGACAGATGTTTGGGGACAGGCTCAACCCTGAAGCCAAATCACAACCTCACAACCTGCAGCCAGGAACAGCATTTGGAAGAGGCCAGAGCTGCCCCAGTGCTATCTCAAGGGCTGAAATGGGAGGAAGTTGGGAAGCTGTGGGGCAGGGGCGAAGACCAACATGACCAGGAGACACAACCATCCTTGCAAGGGGATCCACCAGCCCAAATCCCAAACGTGTCTTGCTGGCCCATCTTGTAACCACCTTCTGCAGGGTACAGACTCGGCAGTGCTGTGCAAGATCCACCTTGCACCCAGGATTTGGTGGGTCTCTCCTTACGACATCTGCCAGCAACACATGCCAGGTGACCTCCCACTCACGTCTGAAGGATGCTGGCAGAAGGTACTGGGTGTGAAGGAGGTGACACCACCAAGGACTGTACCAACACCAAAAGCCCATGTCAAGACCCAGCCGCAAGCTGGAGGAGGCGATGAGACAGAGCCGTCATTAAATAACCATCCTGTAATTAGTGTGCAGAGTGCCGAGGAGCACGCACATCTCACCCCCCCCGTTCCCAGCACTACAGGGACCGTACGAAAAGAGGGGACGGGGTGGGACCCACGATCTCCAGGAGTCCAAGGGACAGCACAAGGGCACCAGCGCGGGCAAGGACACAGCTCCTGTCTTGCCCTCGCAAGCAAAGGTCCGTGTGCCACCCTCTGCCCAGCAGCCATCAGCCAAGGCGAGACAAATCCAGGCTCCAGTGGCAGCATGGGGGTAGCTCCGGGAAGCGAGAGAGGAGGAGGATGATGATGCAGAGGGCTGTTTGTGTCTTGCTTGCTCGTCCCCCATCCAGGTTCCTGCCTGGAAAGTCCCAGGAGCGGTTGGAGAAGGACTTACGGCGCTGGGCGTCACTTGCTGAGGCTCCCAAAATGGACGGCAGCAGCATGTCCCCCCTTTCTTCTGCTCCCTACGAGCCCCACCAGCGCCGTGGGGCAGAAAGAAAGGGGGCGATTAACTGGGTCATTAGCAGCAGCATGAGATATGGACGGGACACTTGAGCCTCAAAAGGCTTCAGGGGGAAAGGGAGGTGCCCGCTCCTCGCTCTTCCCCGTAATCCTTTCCGCTGCCCGTACCACTGTTGTATCTCCCTCCCAAAAAACAGGCAGGTCTGTCCCCTGCTGCAGGCAACAGCGCGCCCTGACTCCCTGGAATCCCCCGGCCCAGGCTGAGCCACACTCGCTGGGATGACAGGGGAGGGGGGCTTGGGATGATTTAAGGGCAGGTCTCAGCCCTCTTCCCTTCTGCTGTGAGAGGGCAAAGAAGAGGGCTCCTGCTTGCCCACCGGCGGTGTGCCACAAGCCACGGGAGCCGTGGCATACCTGCCAGGAGCTTGCAGCCCTGCTGGCTCACGGGCTCGGGGAGGGTCCCGCTGGGATCACCCCCCACGGAGGCAGGAGGAGAGCACAGCGCAGGTCCAGGTGCGGCGAAGGGCTGGGGCTCAGGAGAAGCGCCGCAGCTTTTTGGGGGTCCGCACCGGTCCTCGAGCGCACGTACAGGGTCCCCCAGCCCGGGGCTCATGTGCTGACGGTGGCAGCATGTTTACGGCCACCGCAACCTGGCAACACCGTGGCTGTGCTCGCCGCACCAGGGCTCAGCCATCGCGGTGCACGCGCTGGTGCTGCAGCAGGTTAGAGGGGTGAGCGAAGCCCTTGTTGCAGACGCTGCACTTGTAAGGGGTCTCACCCGTGTGCACCTTCTCGTGCACAGCCAGGTAGGCCAGGTCCTTGAAGAACTTGTGGCAGAAGCTGCACTTGTAGGGCCGCTCCTGGCTGTGCACGCGGTGGTGCTGGAGGAGCAAGGAGGGCCGGGCAAAGGCCTTCCCGCAGACCTCGCACTTGTAAGGGCGTTCCCCCGTGTGCGCCCGCTCGTGGATCACCAGGTAGGACGACTGCTTGAACGCCTTCCCACAGGTTTTGCAGACGAAGGGGCGCTCACCGGTGTGCACCCGCTCGTGGGAGGAGAGGGCGTTGGATTGCTTGAAGCCCTTGCCACAGAGCGGGCAGACGAAGGGGCGG